TCATTGAATTCTAGGCAAAGAAATGTGAAACTAAGTAACGAGGTTCAGTTTTCATCCGCGGTCAAACTAATGAAGTGAGAAACTTTAGCCAATCAAATGAAAAAATGCCAATTAAATAACCTTAGAAACTATTAAATGCAAACAAATCTCATAAATATTTATACTATAGTTTGTAAAAATTTGCAATTTTTCCACTATTCACAAGACTACCTCATTAGTTAATTATAAAGATAATTTTTTTATACTTCAAATTTAACCATAAATTTTGCCCGCATTAAATTTTTTTTCTAGCTCCACCCCTTGTTAGGAGAGGGTCGTGGCCCACAAAAATAACCACGAGTGGAAATTTTCGACAATGGTAGAAGAAAAAATCCCTTTTGAGGTAGGGTATTCTCCAAAGGTACGGATGCCGAATTTTGTAGCAAGTTCCGATAAGGTGGATGATTTGATGGACTTTTCATGGGCATTGAACATGCAGGTTAAGATGGCAACGGAGACTCCGGAATTCTCGCGCGTGACGCGTGGCTCGATTTCAAGAACTGTCACTGACATCGATTCTCATAGTTACGGCCACGATACGAGGTTTACTTCTCCCTGACACATGCTTTAGTTGTGTATATATATGGATGCTTGGCAATTTTTAGTGGTGATAATAAGATTATGGTACTAATTTGAATCGTTATTATTATTATTTTTTTCACTAAGTTGGATATAGTTTGTGTATTTTTATGATCACAGAGTTTTGAATTATTTGTTAATGAGATTATTTTTACTAATTTGGACATAGTTTGTGTATTTAAAAAAATAAGACTGAATCTTGTTTTTGTTAAATGATCTCATTTATATATTATAATTAACACGCTTCTCAAGCTTTAATAGTCATACTTATTCATTTTAGATATTTTCAACAGCATTATTGTGCTGTAGCTGCATTGCCTATTGATTCATCGTTGATAATTTTATAGATTTATCGTGTTTTGGTATACTGCTATGAAGATTTAAGTCAGTTATTGAATTGTACAGGTGAGTAATGCTATGTGCTATTCGTTGATTTAATATAATTTTGAATTATGTAGAATGATGGTAATTATCCCTCTTCTCGAAGTTGAAGTTGTAATTTCTCATGTTTATGTTTTTTTTGGTAGGAGATCCAGTGGTAATTTCATAGAATAAAGCTAGTTGTACTCTTTGCCTTACTTGCTCGTTTACACGCTGACGTGGGTTTGTCCAAAAAAAAAAAGAATAATAAATGGTTCCTAACAACAACACAAAATATAGAATAAATGGTTTAGGCGGTAGGGGGGCCCATTTCTTTCATTTGACATTGGGGCTTGGCGTTCTTTTCCATTCCATTCAAAACTTGCGTGAAATTAGATTTTTCATCTTTGCCGGGAAAGCGGGACTCTTCTCTTTGAGCTGATTTACGGCTGCCCATATCTTCTTATCCGACGCCGGGTTCATTTCACCAAAAGGTATGGGTTTAGGAAATATGGGTCAATTTCTTCACTGATATCTCTCAGCCGCGATTTCCAGTCATCGCTTGGCGTTCTGTGAAATATCCAACATTGGGTTCATTTTGGAAGAAAGTGGAAGTCGAAAACTGGTTTGAGTGGAAGAGATGATGGACAAAGGTATTCCCCTTTCCCATTTTTGTTTGATTCTGCTTTAGGGTTTAGGGACAAAGGTATACTCTTTCCCTTGCATTTTTTCGTGCTGTAAGACCAAACAGATTTGTTGTAAGAACGTAAGCTTTGCCATGAGCAAAGTTCCGGGTGGATTGACTACAACTAAGTGATGTCTTTTTACACTAATTCAGTCAATTTAATCTAGTGCAGTTTCCGAAAGCTTTCATAAAGACATTAGCAACCGTGAAAATGAATGAATATGTAGACAATTTGATAGAAATTGAACCTTCGTAAAGAAAAAAGTTGTTTCTACCTTCTGGTGAAGTTAAATGCAACAAGTTATTTCTTAGAAAATTAACCCATTTGATCAATATGTCAAGTCAAAATCTTTAAAGTTACTTAAAATTTGTGTCCAAGTATTGAAAGTATGGGACCAAAAGACGCAACAATATTTTGTAGAACAGAACTTGTCATCACTTCTAATCTGCAAGTCACCTAAGCGTTTAATTTTATCCTGTCATTTTTAAGTTTTCTGGGACAAGGTTATAGATGCTGATGCTGCAATTCTGTATTTTGAAAATGGATTTTATTTTTTGAATTTTGTTACTTGCAATCGGATATGTTCTTAATTTCTCAAGTGAAGTCGATTTGTCCTTTTTCAAGTGAAGTTGGTTTCAAGAGGTTTACATATATAAACTTTACAATTTTTTTTTGTTTGTTGCAGCGAAAGGAATTTCAGGAGAGGCAGACAACAATATCTTGTTAGAATCAGATAACGAGAAGATGTTGGAAAGTGTGAATATAATGGACGATGGAATTGTAGGACTAGATGGTATGATTGTGCCCAAAGTAGGTATGAAGTTCAGCGATGAAAAAGAAATCTTTGATTTTTACAAACGATATGCATACAACGTAGGCTTTCCGATTTGGAAAAGAAATTTGCAAAAGGATGATGATGGAATTGTAAGATATGTTATGTTTACATGTAGCCGTGAAGGTCGTAGAAGTAGAAACACAAGCGGTTCTATGAAGACGCAAGCTACCATTCAAATGGGTTGTAAAGCTAGGTTGACTGCATCATTAGATGCATGCGTAGTTTGCCTCATGGAATATAAAGAAATTTGATACTGGAGATGGTTTGAAATAGTCAATTTGATGTTTTACGTTGGTCAGGAAGTAATTTATAGCTTTACGTACGGTAACGAAAAATAATATTTCACACACAATAGCTTTACATAAAAATAACTTCAAGCCAAAATAATCACATTAAGACAACAACATGACCGTTTGCGAGGAATAATTTTCTAGCCAACACCTTAGTGCAAACACCAATATTAATACATCAACTACTCTAATCACTTATTCAGCTAACCACAAATCATGCTGGCCCCTTCCCTTTCACATCCACTTTCGCACTTTCATTGCCATTCCTTATTGTCGCATTTAAAGAAATCTCAATGTTTCATTCCTTAAAGACCACATAACAAAGAGACTAGAACATGCGAGAGAACTGCTAAACATCTTCAAGTGATGCATGGTTATTCGAATTCACAGTAACATTACTTGACCCACTGCTTGATTCTCCCTCATCGACCCATGCCCAATATTTACAATTAGCACTGCAGCACTAGAGCAATCTTCCCTTGTTCTTTGTCTCCCTCTCGACCTCAAAGCACTTCACAATTCCACATATACACAAGGGGCATCGCCTTTTGTTTGGGCAATCAGCAAACAAGTGACCCTTCCCTCTCCATCTATGACAAAGTTCGGAGTTCTTTCCCGGCATGCTACACAGAAATGTATGAACTGATCTTAAAATTGGCCATGAGTGTAGAGATAAGTCATAAAATCCCTCTCAAGTGTTTCTGATAATAACAACCAACTAAACAGCTACAGAATAATAACAGAGATTCGGCAAGAACATTTATTTCTCAACGACATTCTTTAAACAATTCTGACAGTAATATAAACTTCCTGTTTGCTGCACTTTTATCCTCAAAAGGTTACATTGGACGTCAAATATCAAATCTTATATTATTAATCCAACAAATATTGTGAACAGATGTGTATTAATTCAGGTCAGTGGATGTATGTTTATTCGGCATTTAATCCATCTAACTACGAAATTTGCATGTATCTGACCTCATTGAGAAAGCTTATGAAATATCCACATATATTAGAAATTGACATCATTTTTTGTCTATCAACTAGTATCATCTGTCAATTTCAAAGTAAAGTTTTCTTTAGCTCGTGAATGACACATCAAAATCACTGAAAAAAATTCCTCGTGTGAAGCTCGTGTATTAAGTTCACTAGAATTTATAACTTCTTCCTACCATATGCAATATCTAAGAGATTGGACTGTAGTATCAAACAACCTGAAAATGAGTAAATGTTACTAAAATTTATAACTTGATGCGTAAATCTTCCTACAGGCATTGATGACATAATTCAGAAAACATGATCTAAAATACTAGTGGTTTATTTTGTTACAAGGAAACTGAGAAAACATGTGTGATGATTTGAGTTTTTTTGAGAAAACCCCCAATCTTCTGTGAAAAATTTCCACTCAAAACCAAAATTCCCAAATCATAGATTCAAGACAATCCCAAAACATCACGTAGATCACTCAAATTCAACACCAATATCACGAGATCTATAGTCTATTTTGGAAAAAGTGATCTTCGTCATTCAATTTTTTGTTAAAAATTACCGAACAAAATCGAAAATCCCAAAATCGAAGATCACAAAAAAACTCAAATCATCACTTTCTCCCACTTCCCCCTCCCCACAACACCCCTCCACCCCTTACTTGAGGCATGGAAACTGCGAAAGGAACAATCTTGGTACAAGGTCATGAACAACTTACTTTATTTTGTTGTAGTTTTTCTCCGGCTACTTTTTAAGAGCTCTTTCCCTCTCACCCTTTGGATTCAACGAGCCAAATCAACGCATCAAGCTACGATATGCAAAAAAGATTAATATTTATAAAATTGCTTCTATCACATAAAGTATAAGAAACGCACCTTCAAGGTCCTGCAAATGATCTGCAAGTGGAGAGGCGAAACTGAAATTTGTCGAAATCAAGTCGAGGCTGGAACCCCTACAGTTGGAGATTTTGCCGGAGAAGAAGGCCTCAACGACGGCTGATTCTGCTGCGTACAGTGGGCTTCAATCTTGCAGCCTTAGATCTCCTCGCATGAGATGATTCATGAGAGGTTTTTTGCATTTGGGGTGAGGCAGTTGTGAGGGAAAAATAGTGGTAGGGTTTGAGGTGAGAGTGAAATTGCGTTCGGATGTGATGCATTTGGGGCCGATTCAAGAGACTCCACCCGTTTTTTTCTTTTCTTGGACATGTCAGCGTGTAACCCAGCAAGTCAACCAGCAAGTACGTGTAGCGGGACTGAATTTCATATGCTTATCATTATAGGTTTTGTCAGATCAGGTTTAGGGGAAATGTATGCTTGTCTTGACTGGGTCCAATTTAATAGTGAAGGGCGTCTATTATAATTTTTGTTGGAATCAAATTTTATAGTTACACGTGTAATTTGGTTGGATCATAAATTATGGTGTAAAGACGCAGTGTATAGTTTGTAAGAAATATTTTTCGATTAATTTGCAACGATTATTGTTGGAGTCGAACCCTGTTCACCTATTTAATGCTTCCATAATTTGATTTTTTGGTGTTTTATTAAAACACGACTTACTTAGTTTTTATACTTTACTGGATGGCCAACACGTAAACTACTCTTAGACATTGGATTAAACTGTTTCATCTGACTTGAGTTAAAAGGTTTCATATGCTTATCATTATAGGTTTTGTCAGATCAGGTTTAGGGGAAATGTATGCTTGTCTTGACTGGGTCCAATTTAATAGTGAAGGGCTTCTATTATAATTTTTGTTGGAATCAAATTTTATAGTTACACGTGTAATTTGGTTGGATCATAAATTATGGTGTAAAGACGTAGTGTATAGTTTGTAAGAAATATTTTTCGATTAATTTGCAACGATTATTGTTGGAGTCGAACCCTGTTCACCTATTTAATGCTTCCATAATTTGATTTTTTGGTAAAATCGTGTTTTATTAAAACACGACTTACTTAGTTTTTATACTTTACTGGATGGCCAACACGTAGACTACTCTTAGACATTGGATTAAACCGTTTCATCTGACTTGAGTTAAAAGGCTGGAGCCTTCTGGAACGTTGAAAGACCCTTTCATTTCACTCTCGACTCTAGGGTTTCTTTCAGAGAGAAAAATGGCGATCTGAGTGTTCTATTTTTCTTTGAGTGATTCTTGTGTAAAATCTCTGATTTTACACTAAGTACAGTAAGATCTTCCTTCGATTGTTGTATTTTGTGTAAATGGTGAAGAAATTTGAGTGATTTCTCTATTGTATCATCTGGTGTTGTTCGAAGGTTTTGTGGACTGAGATTTGAGTGAATCTCTGTAGATCTGTTGCTGTACTTGAGAGATAAGTCTCATTTTTCATTTCTCTAAACATTCTGTAAATCTGTTGTCATTTTTGGCTGTTTAGTGCAACCGAGGACAATCCAAATGTTTGGATGCTCAACGGGGGATATAGGCATTGGATGTGGTCGTCAAACCTCCGGGGCTTAGGCTGAAATAATTCCTTTGTGTTCTTTTAATTTTCTGCAATTTATTTCTGTTCGATTAAGGTTTTCTTGTCCTAAATTTTAATATCGTGTGATCCTGTCCTTATAGTGGTATCAGAGCCACGGCCAAAGGAACAAGATACCTGGATCTTAGAGAAATTGGTGGACCTACAACGGTCTTGAATCTTTGGAATTGCCAAAAGGCAGATTGAGAACAATACAAGTTATTCAACTCACTTGGTGAGATCTTTTTTAATTTTCTGTAAATTAATTTTCAGAAACTTGAGTCTCCTAAATTTTCCCTTGATTTTTTGGTGTACCGTTGAAACCCCCTTGAGACTAATCTTTGTCCAGTGGCTCTTGCAAGGCTCCTGGAATCTGAGATAAATCAAGTACGGGTGTGCACTTGAAGAATCTTGTTGGAGAGAAATGTAAAACCTTGAATTCAGTCTCTATGATTGTTGTTTTTTAATATCGTGTGATCCTGTCCTTATAGTGGTATCAGAGCCACGGCCAAAGGAACAAGATACCTGGATCTTAGAGAAATTGGTGGACCTACAACGGTCTTGAATCTTTGGAATTGCCAAAAGGCAGATTGAGAACAATACGAGTTATTCAACTCACTTGGTGAGATCTTTTTTAATTTTCTGTAAATTAATTTTCAGAAACTTGAGTCTCCTAAATTTTCCCTTGATTTTTTGGTGTACCGTTGAAACCCCCTTGAGACTAATCTTTGTCCAATGGCTCTTGCAAGGCTCCTGGAATCTGAGATAAATCAAGTACGGGTGTGCACTTGAAGAATCTTGTTGGAGAGAAATGTAAAACCTTGAATTCAGTCTCTATGATTGTTGTCTGTTAATTGATCTTGCCTGTTTTCTTCCAATATTGCGAGAATTGTGAAACTTTGTACTACTGTGTGTTCTACTGTATTTCAAACTTGATACAAATTAACTTTTCTTGACTTCTTGGATAAGCTACTGTGAGTCCAAATTAATCTTGTATGAAAATTTGTTTGCACTATGGCTCCTGCTAAATTTGAAGTTAGTCAGTTTGATGGCAAAATTGATTTTGATATGTGGAGTCAGAAAATGAAAGCCATTTTGATGCAAATGAAATGTGCTAAGGCATTAGATGATTCATGGCTTGAGGGTTTAGCACCTAATAAGAAATCTGAACTTGAGGAAATTGTTTGGACACCATATTTCTGTATTTGTCTGATAATGTGATCAGAGAGGTAGGTGAAACTATTACTGTCTCTGATCTTTGGACCAAACTTAAGGCTAAGTATGAGACCAAAACCACTCCAAACAAATGTTTTCTTCTAAAACAAATTTTCTCCTTTAAAATGGATCCTGCAGTTGACATAGAAGGGAACCTTAGTAGGTTCACAAAACTTACCCAAGACTTGGCCAATTGTGATGAAAAACTTTCAAAAAATCAATTGGTTGTAGTTTTGTTAAACTCCATAAGTGACAAGTATAAGGACATTAAAGTTGCCCTTGAATATGGTAGGAAAGAACTCACTATTGATGATATAACCAATGCTTTAAGGAATAAAGCTTTAGAAATTAAGGCTGAGTCAAGTAACAGTCATACTGGAACTAGTTTCTTAATTAAAGGAAAATCTTTTGAAAAACCTATCCAAAATTTTAAGTTTTCAAAAACTAATACAAGATAGGTTGACAAAAGTAAGACCAAAAATAATGCAAAAGGTAAAAAAAAATGCTATTATTGTGGTAAGCTTGATCCTTTTGCAAAAGATTGTTTTAAAAAGAAAAATGATTCAAAAGAAAAGGACATTGATGGAAGTAATGCACTAGCCTATGATAAAACTAAAACAGAAAATGGTTTTATGTTAGTGAGTGCTGAAAAATGCCTAAGTAATGAATGGATACTTGACTCAGGATGATCTTTTCATATGTGCCCCAACAAGAACTGTTTTATAAATTTAGAAAGAATCAAAGGGGGATAGGTTATAATGGGAAACAACTTTGCATGTAAAGTGAGTGAAATTGGGACTGTCAAATTATTACTAGAAAATGTTAATGTTTTGTTTCTAGAAAACACAAGACATGTCCCAGATCTGAAAAGAAACTTAGTGTCTTTAGGAATGTTAGATGACAAAGAGTTTAACATAATTATAGGTCAAGGACATATAAAAATTCTTAGGGAAAATGACTTGGTCACTTCAGCCCCTAAGAGACATGGCCTTTATTGTCTGAATGCAAAACCTTTGCTTGGTTTAATTGCTTCTGTTGCATCTGAAAAATTTACTTTGGTAAAACTGTGGCATGAAAGGCTTGGTCATATTGGTAAAAAGGGTTTAAATTTTTTGCATTCAAAAGGTGTTTTTGAAAAACATAATTTTGGTGATTTTAACTCTTGTGAACACTGTATTTTGGGAAAGCAAGCCAAACTTCCTTTTCAAAGCGGAATTCATAAGTCCAAACAAAAACTTGAGTACTTGTATGCTGATCTGTGGGGTCCTGTCTTTGTCTCTACTTTAACTGGTTTTAAATAGTTTTTACTAATAGTTGATGATTTCTCAAGAAAAATTTGGATTCATCTACTAAAGTCTAAAGATGAGACATTTATTGCTTTTAAGAATTGGAAAATTCAAGTTGAAAATCAGATTGATCTTAAAATAAAATATTTAAGAACTGATAATGGCTTGGAATTTTGCAATTCTGAATTTGATAATTTTTTTAAGGAATATGGCATCATGAGACACAAAACTGTTCCACACACACTACAACAAAATGGAATGGCTGAAAGAATGAATAGAACTGTGTTAAACAAAGATAGATGCACGCTATTAAGCTTTGAACTGCCTAAAATGTTTTGGGGTGAAGCAGTTAAAACTGTAGCTTATCTGATTAATAGAAGTCCTACTGGCACTAAACTTTGCTATTCCTAAAAATGTGTGGTCTAATAGTCTTGTAAATTACTCTTATCTAAAAATATTTGGTTGTGCTGCCTATGCTCATCAAAATATTGGTAAACTAGAACGAAGATCATTAAAGTGTGTTTTCTTGGGTTATGATGAACATGTTAAAGGATACAGATTATGGGTTAAATCTGAAAAAGGTTATAGAGTAATAACTAGAAAGGATGTAGTCTTTAATGAATCCTTGATGCCATGTCTTGAAAGAAAAGAAAATAACTTAACTGAAAAAGATGTTCAAATTGAGGTGGAGCCTTCCTGCAGTAACCAGAATATTTCTGTAACTACTACAGAAGGAAATGAAAATGAAGAACATGTTATTTTACCTGAAACTGAAGATGAAACTGAACATGTTGAAGAGGCTGATTCTGCAACTTTTCCCCTTGATGAGTATCAACTCACAAGAGATAGGGAGAGAAGGCAAATCAAACCCTCCACTAGGTTTGATAGTGACACATTTGTATCCTTATCTACCTACCAAGACCTAACTGAAAATGAACCAAACAGTTTTGAAGAAGCCATGGAATGTAAAGAAAGAAAAAATTGGAGAATGGCCATCGAAGATGAAATGTCTTCACTCCTTAAAAATAAGACATAGATTCTAGTTGATAAGCCCAAAGGAAAAAAATTAATTGATTGCAAGTGGATTTATAAAATAAAATTTGGAGAAGGAGATGATAAAAACATAAGATATAAAGCTAGACTTGTAGCAAAAGGTTTCACGCAAAAAGAAGGTGTGGACTATACTGAAATTTTTTCTCCTGTTGCTAAGTATGTTACTATCAGATGTTTACTTGCTCTTGTTA